TAATGAAATGAGTGTAACACTGATAGCAAAACCCAATAAAGACAAGACCAAAAAAAAAAAAAAAAAAGCCAGCCTCAGTTAAGAGTACTGATGAGGAAAGTCTAAATAAAATATTACCAGTGGATTCCACAGCACATTAAGAGACCAAAATATCCTAGCCAAGTGAGGGTCCTTGTGGGAATGCCACAATGGGATGGGTAGTATTTGGAAATCCATAAATAAATTCTATAAATAGAATTCCCATATTACCTGGTCAGATAGGAAAAACAATATGGTGATATATGATGGAAAGCATTTTGTGAGATTGAACTTTTTACTTTTTTTAAGCTCTTCATACGGAGCGCCTGGGTGGCTCAGTCAGTTAAGCCTTGGACTCTTGATTTCAGCTCAGATCATGATCTCAGAGTCATGAGATCGAGTTCTGCTTGGGGCTCTGCGCTCAGCAGGGCGTCTGCTTGAGATTCTCTCCCTCTGCCCCTCCCCTTGCTCATGTTTGTGCATGCTCTCTCTCTCAAATAAATAAATAAATCTTTAAGAAACAAAAAAACAAAACGAAACAAAAAACAACCCTCTTCATACATTTAGAATGCATGGATACCAATTTCACATGATAATATGATCTATGGCAATGTATAGCCAGAATTTATCTTATTAAAGGGAGAGAACAAAACAAGAACATCAACTCTCATCAGTTCTATTAATTTTATTTTTTCAGAGCTATTAGCCAAGAAAATTAGCCAAGAGAGATTAGTGGGATAAAATTGGAAAGAAGGGCATACGGTTAACACTATTGCCTCTGCTGTGTTATTGTTTTGTTGGTTTTCCAGTTTTACATTTCCTCTTTCCTAATAAAGAGGGTTTTTTTTTTTTTTTGAGAGAGAGATCATTATTTTTAAAAGAGGATCCCGGCCATTAGAATACTTCTATTTTTTTTTTTTTAATCCCTACGCAACATAGTAGGTCATTCCCAGCTCCTCTTGGCTGCCATTGTGTCCCATGGATCTTCTTTTAAAACTCAGAATTCTCTTCTCCATGTTCTAAATAAATGAGGTAGATGGTGTGTGTGTGTGCGCGTGCACGCACGCGCATGATGCCAGTTCTGGTTTAGCTACTATTAACATAGAGAATCAGACTACTGAGCAGTTATTTTCATTGCTTTTTAATATTCATGACAGAAGGCAGGAAAAGGGTTTTTACAGCTTTGGTTTATTTAATATCAGATTGGGTTCTTCTGTTTCCCTCTGCACATCACTGAGAAGTTTCAAAGAATTGCATTGAGATTAGTCAAGCTCTATATACTCTCGTTCAGTTTCTGTGATGTGTGAACACAAAATAAATTATTGGCACCAGATTCAGAATTTTTTTTTACAAAAATCAAACACTTAATTTCAAGATGTGTGTAGATGAAGGAAATTATAGCTTTCCTATGAGAATTGGTTACGTATAGAGGCACCGCAGTCGGTTGAACATCCAACTCTTGGTTTTGGCTCAGGTCATGATCTCTGAGGGTCGTGAGATTGAGCCCAGCTCTGTGCTCAGCTCGGATTCTGCTTATGTTTCTCTCCCCCCCTCCCTCTCCCCCTCCCTCCTGTGCGCGCACACATACACACACACACACACACACACACACACTCTCTCTCTCTCTCAAATAAATGTTTAAAAAAAAAACTTAAAAAAAAGAATTGATTACATATAGAAATTTTTATTTTAACTGACTTTTTCTGATATAAGTGTAATTATAGAAAACAAACCCTTATGGACACATTATTTAGTGGACTGTAAATGTCTCTGTTTTCAAATGTCCTTTTTTCTTAATAGTGTATTTTAAATATTTTGGCATGCCATTTTTTTTAAGAGCTGGCTTTTGAATAATTGCCTATTTTGCTATTGTATGAAGCTAACCAGAGTCTCTCCTTCTCAGTCTCCTTTACTTCCGTTTCCTTTCTTTCTGCAGCTCCTTCCGCTTTGCTCTCCTTTTGTCGTTCAGGGGAGAAAAATGAAGTATGCTTTTATTACATGGTTAAGTCTGCAAAGGGAAGTGTTCAGTTAAATGAGATTTTGCAGGTTTGGCAATACATGATATTTAGTAATTAGATGCTGTGTCTTTGGTTACGTATTTGTCTGTTGGGTTCTAAAGGGTGACCACTCAGGGAAATTGGCCAAGCTGTATCAGAGTGAATTTTTCTGGTGTGTAATGGCAAGTTACAGAGCATTTGATAAAAAGCTTTGCCGTGTTATTCGATATGAAAGCCACTAGCCTCATGTGGGCATTTAAATTTGAATTAATAAAAATTAAATAAAATTAAAAATTTTAGTTCCTTAAGTAAACTAGCCACAGTTCAAGTGTTCAGTAGACACATGTGGCTAGTGACTAACCATGTTGGACAAGCAGGTACAGAACATTTTCAACATTACAAGGAGTTCTGTTGGACAACCTTGGGGTGAAGTTTATATGTGTTACCTGTTTATTAGAATTTAAAAATCATTTTTGTTTTTAATTTTCCTCCTGGATATTATAAATGCTAATAAAAGTCAGTAATTTTGGAAACTGTGAACAGCTCAAAATTACTTAATTTTTACTTTCCTACCAACTTAATATTTAAAATTACGTCCTGAAGTAAAACATGTATCAACATAGGGTTACGAGCATTTAGAAATTCTAGGAAAACATTTAAAAAAAAATTTAAGATTTTAATTATCTGAGAGAGAGAGAGAGAGGGAGAGTGAGAGGGAGAAGCTGACTCCCTGCTGAGCAGGGAGCCCGACATGGGACTCGATCCCAGGACCCGGAGATCATGACCTGAGCCGAAGGCAGACGCTTAACCGACTGAAACACCCTGGTGCCCCTAAAAATTCTTGATATGATGCAAAGTCTCAAGGTGGGCAGGGTAGAGGTACGCTCTCAAATCCCTTGGGTGAAGATCTAAAGAAGATGATGTGGGAAGAGGGGCTCATTTTTTTTTTTAAAGATACTCAGAAGAAGCAAATGAAGCAGAGAAATAATGTATTTATTTAGGGATATAATTTTAAGTTGTAATTACAATATGGTCTCGATATAAATTAATCTGGAAAAATTAAGGAATGTTGGAAAGAAAAAATACAGGGAGGGGTGGAGAGGAGCCATCCCTAATCCTGCAGTCATTGGAAATAGCCAGTAGTACTTGTCATGTATCCGCCCAGCGTCCTCTCTGTCCTGTTCATCCAGCAGTGAATGAGGTCAGTGAGGGAGGCAGCCAGAGATGTTAATCTGAGAGGCAGGCATAGGGAGTGGGGAAGAGCTCTGACATTGAACCAGGTGGCCTGAGTTTTAAGTCTCAGCTCGACTGCTTCTGTCTGTGGGACCATAGCAAGTTATTTATTTAACTCCTGTGTATCTGCTTATCTGTAAAATGGGATGATGGTGCCATCTGCCTCTTAATATTCTTGTGAGGGTTAAGGGATTAAAATACTAAACTCACTGAAGACTATCTTACTGATAGTACCGGTCACTATTTTTTTTTTTCTGGTCACTATTATGGAGGGAATACAGACCCATGGTAAGTACCTAATAAGTATGAGCCTCTATATTTACTGTTGCAGGGAACCAGATGTTGACACAAGAAAGCTAGATGAGTTGTATGAGAGGCTAAGCTCAGTATTCTATGATAGTATTTGTTGAGGTGACCTCTAATTTTTGATAAAGACTCAAGCAAAATTAGTTTAGCTCTTAGGTTGGATGGTTTTGTTTTAAATTATACTTTTAATAGTTTCGCACATCAAATCTTGCTCCTTGCTTGTGTTCTTAAAAGTTTGTTTATTACCCTACTGTGATTAATGTTTGAAGGTTCCAAGATTTTAAATAAAAATGTGGCCCTGATAATTCTGGTAATATCATAAGTGTCAAAATTCTTTCCCTGATACTTTGCATTGTGGGCCAGGTTGCCAAAAAGGTAATAGAATCCTCTCTTAGCAATAGCATCTGGCTAATCAAAATAAAATCTATCTTCCAGACTTTTTACAAGAGAGTTTGGTTAGCTTTGAGTCTAATTAAAGAGTCGATTACTTGATACCTGTGAGTGTATTACTTGATACCTATTAAAAACTGGAAATTCTGAGGTATCACTGTTTTTTTTATATATAGTGGGGGGTAATTTCTTCAACTATAAATAAGAGGTTCAAATAAGTTTTCAAGTATAACATTTTAAGGGCACCTGTGTAAGAGCTGAAATGGATAGAACTTAAGAGCCAACAGTTTTGCATTTGTCAAAGCGTCTTGCATTTCTTAATGACAATACTAGATTTTTTAAGGAACTCAGTTTGTCTTATAATGCACTAAAATATATTCTTGCCTTTGTGGTTTTGGGGGCAATGATGGGAAAGGAAGGACCAAGTTATTATTTGATAATATAATTTTACTTGTTTTACGGTACAGAAAATTATGTCAGCAAAATAGTTATGAGAAATGTCTCTATGAGCAATCCCTTTGCTTCTTAGAAGTTTGAATTTGGGGGGGAAAGGTTGACAATTTAGGAGAAAAAAAAAAGCCTAAAAGGAACAGCATGCTGGGAAAGGCATTCCTGGAGTGCGCCATGTTCCCGTGTTCTTAGTGGTGATCATATACCAACCGGTCAGGATGCGGCTGCTGGCTTATCACTTTGCTTTAATCATCATTTATGTGTTTAGCAGGAATATAAACTACGACCGATAAAGTATTGAAGCAATATGTTTTAGAAATGACAGATTTTATAAAACTAACATAATTATTGAGGGGAAAAACAAAGGTTTAGCTCTTACGTGGGTTCTATTTGATAACGATCCTCCCCCCATTTGACATCACATTAGAAACACTGGACCATAAATGAATTACACATGCATTTTTGTCATCTGTAGGTTTATAAAAACATAGAATTTTTGTTTGAAGGTTTAGTGGATCAGTTTCTGTACGCAGCGATAAAAATCTTCAAATATCTCACTGTTTGCTAGCAGGTGAACTTATATTCATTCACTTGTGTTTCTTCCAGATTCACGAAAAACTCCACTACTATGAGAAGCAGAACCCCGTGCCCATCCTCCACGGTGCAGCCGTCTTGGCTGATGATGTAAGTGTGCCTTTCTGAGCTCCCTGGGACCCTGTGCCTTCGTGAGCCTGGCCTGGGGCAGAGCTCATCCTGCCCCAGACAGATGCGTGCGATCCTAGGAGCGAAAACCAGGAGAAGCTGCAAATGTTTCACAAAGTCCTGTCATCACGGAGCTTATGCAGATACTATGCTGATTTTCATTCACTTGCCTGCTCTAAAATTTTTGCCTGGACATAACCCCCTCCTTCTACCTTGGTAACCGCGTACCAGAACTTTTAGCCTCTAACTCTCCGGGGAGAGAGCGAGAAGCTGTCAACTAGTGGAGTTCTGAGACAGTCACAGGCAGGAGGAATGCTTTGGAGAAATAAAGACGAATGAGATAGGTCTATCGCTGACAGTGCTAAAAAAATGACAGATACTAGGATAGGAACGAGGCCTTATGAAATACATAAAAAGACAGGATTGTTTTTAAAATGGGTTATAAAGCATAGTAATGATTTATGGATATCAGACCTCTCCAAATTACCTTCATAACCAAAAAATAAATTTTCGCAGCAGTTGGCATTGATGGAGTAGTTAATTTCCTGTAGCTATAATTTTATTTTCGATCTGGGGGAGGGAACTACCTTGCTGTTTCTTACTGTTAACTTTTAAACTTGGATGAATTGAAAGCACACCTGGATAAACTATAAAGGACGCTAAGCCAGACGAGAAATAGGTCTTGTGTGAAGGCGGGTTTTAGTGATATCCTGTAGCTTATCTGTTGCTTTTTGAATTTTTTGCTCGGTTACGATAAAACAAGCCATCGTTCAGTTTAGTAAAATATCGGGGCCATAGAATAAAAAAAAAACAAAAAACTGACCATCTTCAGAAGTTGATTTTCTTATATATATATATGTTCTCTATTTTAATTTAGATAATAAAGCACATGTAATAAATCTCCAAGTGGTTTGCTGTTTGTTTAGTCCTCAGTCTCCCTTCCAGTTTTATCCACAGAGATTAGATTATAGGGATGTTTCGGTTTCTGTGTTTTATGAGGAAGCTTTCTCCTCTGCCTTAATAGAACCAAAATTTTTGAAGTGAAGGTGAGCAAAGGTGTAGAGAGAATTCTAATAAGCTGTGGTTGGCACTTGAGAAAGTCTTAAAAATCACTTTAAAAACATTTACTATTGAGGGTTTGGGGAAATATTTGTCACTCTCCAATGTGGTTGAGGCCCAATCATATTATGACAATAATGGTTTTTAAAAGAATTAGAGACTTATGTAAATAGGGTAAAATGTAGCATTTTCTAATTCATCAGAGCAATATATGTGAATTTTAAAAATATTGTTACAAAGTGCCTAGAGAATGCAGAGAGCCTTTTGTGACTTTTTTGAGTTAACAGTTATTTATGATTATTTTACCTCGAAAAACAAAAATTTTACCTTGAAAAAGTAAAATCACTTTTTGCAATGTAACCAATGAATATATCAGTTTTATCAGGTTTTATTATTGTGCATAATTTATATGATGTCCTTCTTTTAGAGAAAAGTCCTTTTCCAGAGATAAGAACAATTATTTTTAGCTTGGTAGAAACAGTAGGAGCAAAGAGAAATTTCATGCAGTGTTTTAAGAAGGGTTTTTAAATGAAAATATATGTACGTATTTTGAATTCTGTACTGTGTATTTATTTCACAATTGTAATTTCTTTTTCTACTTGGTCTTGCTTTTCTTCTTAGGAAATTATATGATCCTTTATAGACTAAAATGGAAGGGTGTGTTGATGGGAAGATCTGTTTTGAAGAACATGAGGCGTGTTAAAAGTTCCAGCCCTTTCTTTAGCTAGAACCAGCAAATGGGAATTCTTGATTGTTATAGTAGAATATAGTCAGCATTTCTGTTCCCAGAGTACTTGTCAACCTATTGTAAGTCATTCTATGATTAACCTGGTTTATACTTAACGGATTTTTTTAGTCTGTGTAGGTAAACATAATAAAAGTTTCAGACCATTTGCTCTATTAGAGACATTCTAGTTCTTTTTCCTCCAGCTCTAAACAGCAAGCTACTGTGGGTTTTTGGAAACCTTGTGAATTTCACCACCTCATTCAGAAACTTTTTTTTTTTCATTTTTTTCTTTCTCTTTCTTTCTCTCTCTTTTTAAAAATAGTGTCAAAGCCTGATCCAGTCCTTTTTACAAGTGGTCCTTTGTTTGCATGTAAAAGGCTGTTCCTTAAGATGAAGCGCTGGGGTTTGCCCTTATTGCAATAAATCAGAGAAGGTGATCTGGCTGATGGGGTTTTTTAAGTTATACTCAGCCAAGATCCTGGGCTGGGATCTGGGCTACCAAGGGCCTGAAAAGAGGAGCAATGATTGATAGTCTGTTTTCTTTCATGCTCACTGCTTAATCCCTGGAGAGTGGCGAGGTAGATTCTCAGTTGTCACACATGGAGCTACACAGTGCTCTTACTGAATGTTCTGTCAATGTGCTCTCCCTTGCAGTTGGCTGAAGAGCTTCAGAACAAGCCATTGAACAGTGAGAGCAGAGAGCTGTTGAAACTACTGTCAAAACCCAATGTGAAGGTGAGGACGTGTAATAAATATCTTCCAGAGGGGCCGCTTTCTGAGACTTCAGATGAATTTTATTTTGAGCATCAATTTTCAAGTTGAATGTATTTTCAAACAGTGTGCAGTATTTTCATAACCCAAATTCCATTAAGGAAGACAAGTTGAGCTTTTGATGATAATGTGACCAACTACAGAATACTGTAATTGGGAAGCTCAGGATTTAAGTCAGTGAATATAATGTCACTTCAAGGTCAGTTTCTTTTTAAACGAACGTAAGAGTACAGAATACAGAACCTACTAGTGATTTTGTTTAGGCTCATTTTACTTGGTTAGTGAATGGTATTCCAATATACTTGACAGCTATATCTATTTTTTTTATAGGATCATTTCAGCTTTCCTCTTTCCCCTCCCTCGTTGTCTTCCCCATCTCCTCTCCCTCTACTGATTCATGTGTTAATATATATTACCATTTTACAGAGAAGAGCAGTTTCTCAGTGTAAAATACTAGTAAAATACCAGTAGGCAGATTCCAATTCTCCTTGCCATTTTTTTATTGAAGAATAGTTGACGTAACAATATTGTATTAGTTTCAGGTGTACAACATAGTGATCTGATATTTATATACATTACAAGATGGTCACCACAATTAGTCTAGTTACTATCTGTCACCATACAAAGTTGTTACAATATTATTGACTATATTTCCTCTGTATATTACATTCCTGTGTCTTACTTATTTTATAACCGAAAGATTGTATCTCTTAATCTTCTTCACCTATTTCACTCCTTCCCTTACCATTTTTCTTCCAGGTATATCATTTATCTTTCCTCCAAAGGTGCTTGGTCAACAGAAGTCATTTCAAAAATGTCCTGTTAATTCTAAGGTCATTAATGCACTATATCCTATAACCTGTACATTTTGGACTTGATACTGCTGCAATTACATGTGAAGTGTTATCCATGAGTCACAATTACATGTAGATTATGTAATTAAAATGATCAGTTATCTTGTTTTTGTTTTTTTTTTTGGTAAAGATTTATTTGAGAGAGTGCAAGTGGGAGGGAGGGGCAGAGGGAGAGGGAGAATCTCAAGCAGACTCCCTGCTGAGTGTGGAGCCCAACATGGGGCTCGATCTCACAACCCTGAGATCATGACCTGAGTTGAAACCAAGAGTTGGATACTCAACTGACTGAGCCACCCAGGTGCCCCAAAATGATCAGTTACCTTATGATGATTTCTATTAAGCATATTTAGGGTATTGGATGAATATATCTGCCTAGATGCAAAAATTGATTTCTACCTTCCTTGAAAAATCTCCTTTGCTATAATAGTCTTAAATTGATGGTCAGGAAAGATAGTATTAAATAAAAGATGAGGTGAAAACATGTAGAAGCTATAATTCCTAATCCTTAGAAGTAAAGTAAATGCTGTCAAGAATCAGTGGATTATAATTAGCAATTTAGAGTAGTTGACTTATACTGGTACAGAGGAGATTGGTTGAATTTTAGTTCTAAAAGAATAAGGATCAGGTTAGAGCAAAATAGTTCCTTGAAATTAAAGACAAAGTATGTAGAAAGGTTAAAGACAAATCTCAGAGTAAGAGATTCATGGGGAGAGAAAGTTCTGAAATGTCTTCATTTGGTCTCAGAGTACACATGCGAAGTTAATATGAACCAAAGAATGGTGAGGTCAGCTGTGAGCAACTTGTTAAACTCCTTGTTGAGAGTGCTATCTTGGTTTGAGTATTAGAAATTGAAGAAGAATGTTTCCAACAAAAAACAACAACATGATTTTGGTATTCTTTTGAAGAGTGTTTGGAATGGAATAGCTAATAAAGAAGAGATTGATGATACTGGATGGAAACTGGTATTTGGCTCGAGAGGGAGGTTATGATTTTAGATGGTATTCAGCACCACTGGATACAACCTTATAATTAAATCCTGGAGCTTTGTTACGGTGAAAATATTTTAGACGAATACTTTTTAAATTTTGTATGTTTATATAGCCCTGTGCTAAGAGAATGGCTGAGAAGTCAGCATGAAAGATGTATTTTCAGGAAGCGATGTGTGGGAAGTGGGTGGGATTGCAGACGCAAGGTGTCTCAGTTGGCAATGGTCGTTTCTAGTGAGCCAGTCCTGGGGGGAGGAATCTTTCTAGAAAGCAATCTAACATTGCTTTCCTTGAAATCAATTACATTAACTACCATCAATTTGAATTTCACTTCTTTTTAGGTAATTACTTTAAGAAGTCATTTAGTAAACTAAAATATTTTCTTTTTTCTTTTTTTAAAAGAAAATACTTTCTTTTTTCTTTTTTTTAAAGCGGAAGCAAGGTACAGTAGAATGACAGGTATACATGAATTATAAGTTGAAGTGACAGTTTAAATATGAAAAGCATTACTCCAGGGTGTTAATTTGAATACTGTTTTTTAATTTTTAGTGGAGAAGGGAAGTAATTATTTGCTTGTTAAAGAGGGCTGTTTCATTTAAAATATTTAGTTCACAGTAGTGAAAAGAAACCTCAGGTGCACCTCCAAAGTAATAATGATTTTTGTAAACACACACGGATAATATACAGCCAAATATATAGCCACTATGAGAAGGATAATACTTGTATCCCACAGATCTGCCAATTCCTTTTTGAAAAGTTTTAAAACTTTCTCTGGTCATTTGTGTCACTAGAGTCAGATCTTCATTCATTCTCAAATGTCCAGTGCCTACTGTGTGCCAGGCCCTGTAGATACAACTTGCAGAAGACTCGTGAAGGTTACTGAAGCTGACAGGAGAAATACTGGGTAAAAGAACACATGAAATACTGTGGAGGGAGTGCCTGGGTGGCTCAGTTGGTTAAATGTCTGAATCTTGGTTTCAGCTCAGGTCATGGTCTTGGGGTAGTAGGCATGGAGCCTGCTTGGGATTCTCTCTGTTCCTCTCCCTCCGCCCCTCCCCTGGTTCACGCTTTCTCTCTATCTCTCTCTAAAATAAATATATAAAATCTTAAAAAAAAAAAAAAAAACCATGGAAATCAGAGGAGGGATGCTAAATCTAAATTTGGGGAGGGAAGAAGGAGTGGGGGAAGGGTTGAAAACTTGCCAGAGGAAGTGGCATATAAATTGAGCCCTGAAGATTGAGTTTGAGGTAACCAAAAGAAGGAATAGGAGAGTCAAGTTGAGGTGGGATGTGAAAATAGATTTTTTTTGAAAGATGTATTTATTTTAGGCAGAGAGAGGGTGGGGGGAGGGGCAGGAGAGAGAGACTCCCACTGAGCAGTGAGCTGAACTCAGGGCTTGATCTCACAACCCTGAGATTGTGACCTGAACCAAAATCAAGAGTCAGATGCTTAACCGACTGAGACACCCAGAGGCCTCTGAAAATAGGTATTTTAAATAAGGTGAATAGTATGTGAATCCTCTTAAAGGAAATAACTTGTCCGGTTTGAGGATGAAAATAAGTTCAGTGTGGTTGAACAGTAGCTTGTGGAAGAGGAAGGGGCAGGAGTTCAGAGCTAGACAGGGGATCTTTTGAGTAGGGGGGCCATCTACGTCCTGGTTTGCCCTAGAACAGTCTGGTTTGTGCCTGTAGTTCCAGCATGATTATTAATAGCCTCCTTTCCATTTCAGTTGTTTCCTTCTTTAGAGGATAAATTATAGGGCCACCCTTATTGTGAGCATATTAAAAAGTTTGGATTTCATCCTAAGAGCAGTGGAAAGTCATTGAAAGGATTTAAATCGGCAAGTGACACAGTTGCTCTAGTATACAGATTCTTGGAATGGTGGGGTGGTGGTAGGGTGGGAGGAGTGGATGCTGAATGGAGGAAGGCCAGCTGGAAGCCTGTGGAAGTAATTCAGGGGAAACATGATTAAGGCCTTAGTGAGGGCTGTGACAGATGGATGGAAGTGGGGAATGGGTGGAACTGGACAGAGCTTCAATGCATGGTATTGGCACAAGTGGTTAATTATTGGGAAAAAATAATATAACCAAATATAATGCATATTATGTGTAATATACAATGAATTCCAAATAAATGAAAGATGTGAGTATAAAAAATTGAACCATAATCATGGGATAGAGAAGAAACACTCACAATCTCAGGAACAGATAGACAGACACACATAGGAAAAGTAAAAGAGAAAATCCATGAATGTGGTTAGAAGGAATAATTTATTTATATAAACAGTCTACATTTGTCTTTAATAAAGTTGTGATAATTTATTACTTTGACTTTAATTTTACTTTTTACAAAGGGACTTGATAAAGACTTTTGAAAGTAAACAGGAAATTTTTTTGATAATGTGTAATTGCATTTTTAATTCAAACTGTGGAGAAAGTAGAAGTTCCTGTCTTCATTGCTCTGTTTGTGAAGATGAACATCATTTCATATGTTTAATGACTTTCTATTTTGTCTGTGAAGTGTGTGTTCATATACCTTTTAGGGATAACTACTGTTCATTGGCTGCATTATTCTTCCTTTTTGCATACAGAAATATTACCTATACATTTTTTCTTTCAAGATTTATTTATTTAGGGGCACCTGGGTGGCTTAGTCGGTTAGGTATCTATCTGCCTTCGGCTTGGGTCATGGTCCCAGGGTCCTGGGATTGAGCTCCGTTTTGGGCTCCTGCCTCTTCCTCTCCCCTCCCCCTGCTTGTGCTCTCTCTCTCTCAAAAAAAAAAAAAAAAAAAATTACTTGAGAGAGAGTGGGGGGGGTAAGGGCAGAAGGGGGAGGGAGAGAGAGAATCTCAAGCAGACTCCCTACTGAGCATGGAGCCCAACTCGGGGCTTGATCCCACAACCCTGAGATCATGACCTGAGCTGAAATCAAGAGTTGGACGCTTAACCAACTTCGCCACCCAGGCGTGCCTATGTTTTTTCCATTATAAATAGAATGCACTATTTTTCTGTTTTGTTTTGTTTTGTGGACTTTTAACATTTTGATATTTTGTGGACTTGTCTTTGGAGCAACGTAATTGTCCACCTCTAAGAGATAAGTTAGATAACTTTGCTTTTTTTGCTTT